CTCTGCCCTCTCACCCAGCTCTCTCACCCAGTGGAGGGCAGCGCAGCCAGGGCCAGCCGCCCATCCCCAATCCTGTCCCTCATCCACCGCCCTGCTCAGGAATCACTCTTTACTCAGAGTACACACACACACACGCACAAAACACCATCAGGCAAAACCCATGCACACACTCCTATCTTCTTAACAGGTTCAAAACCAAGCTCAGCCTACACTGATGCAGTCACAGAAATCTACTGCATGCTGTCTTTTGCTGCATGTATCTCAGTGAAATGTATGATGCAGAAGGCAAAAAAATACCAGTTTAATTAGAGTGGCTTGAGGGGTAAACTAAGTTAGAAAGATACAAGCCGAACTTTTATAAAAGGTAGCGAAGTGTAAAGGGCAAGTTCCAAGTACTGGCTTCATTAACCTTCCTTAAGGCCTTGGAAATAAATCGGGTGTATAAGCACTGTCTGCCTGAAGTTGCAGCTGCCAGTGGGACCTGCACTAAATCAGCAAATCTCCACAGGTCTCTCCTGACCTTGGCATTTTTACAGGGGTTATACTTTCACATGAGCGAACTGTTCCTAAACACATTCTCTGACATATTAAATACAAAATTAATTTCTTATAATGCTATCAGGTTATGTCTTAAAAGATACCAACAATACATACATGCAAATCCATATGTACACTTCTCCAACATGCTAAGAAAACTCTGATAGCATACATATGAAGCTTTACTCTTAATTGTAATTGAACTATTGCATAATTTACACAGTAGGAGTTTTCCTCCAAATCCAAGCACTGCAGAACAGTACTACTACATCATTTTTTAAACCTGTTCTGGGGAGACTCAAAAGAAACACAGGAGCAACATCTATCCTACCATTTTACACTGAAGCAGTAGTACAGTACACACTGCATGGTGCATCGCCTTCTGAGTATCATTCAGGATGACATAAAAAAACAACACGTGTATCTTCAGTTTGATAGCACAATCTAAACCAAGTCAAACTATACAGCTATCACCTAGATGTTCTGTGAGAAGCTAATTAATACACACGTAGTCTCACTTATGCAAAGGAGCTGATTACATGGCAGGGTTTAAAAAGAAACAACAACAACAACAAAAACAAAAAGCTTTGCTTATCCAGCATATGCAATTTGATGAGAATCATATGCAGAGTTCTCCACTGGTATAAATGAGACTCCTAGATTGCAACAGCTTTTAGCACTATATACCCTATCCTGTAGCACCTTACCACATAAGCTTAAGGTGTCACAAAACAACATCCCTTCTCTTCTCCTTTTCTTGACTGTTAGTCTTATCCTGCCTTCCACATTACCTTCCACGTTGTCCCTCTGGGTGTCCTCTTGGGAAAACAGGTGTGACAGAGGGAGCCTGGGTATCATTCGAAAGAATATGCAACACCATCACCATAAGCACAAGCAACTTAGAAGGCAAAATTACTCCCACAGAGACAGGAGGTGAAATTTGCCAGATACCACAGGCAGTCTAAAGTTGAACAAAGATGGTATTTACTAACAGCCAGCGGTAATCCTAATCTCTTTGATTCTTTCTACACGGGCACAAAGGCACACCTTTCATTTAAAATTCACCGACCAAATCACACATTCATAAAGGAGCTAAATGTCATTTGCAAAGGCATTTAGTTGGAGTAGGTTAGAATGAAGAGGACAAAAGCAGAAGACTAACTGAAAACTGTAAGGCTAGCAAGCACAACTGAGAAAAGCATGGGGTTTTTTTTTGCCCAGGTAGGTAAATATCACACATGTAATTCATATCGTGCATCTGCACCTCAGTATTCCCAACATAACTTAATTGTAAGGGTACTGTAAATGGATAACGCAGGTTAACATAAGGTCTTTAAGGCAATATGACATGAAAACAATTAATGATTTCTGCTGTTTCCATTCATAAGCATTTACGTTACCACACTTGGTATTTGTGGATGCTGGAAAATTTTCGGCAATCGTTTTAACGAAGGTTATACAACTTCCACTAACAGAACAGCAGAAAGCTTAGAAAGTCTTTACTTAAATTCAAGATGAAACTTTAACAAATGTTATTTAACATACATGTAATCTTCAGTTTTGGATTGTGGATTGCACTCTTCAAAGAGCTGAAATATTATTATGTAAGTAAACACATGTAAAGCATCTAACAGATAAAACTGGTCAAGCAAGATTCTTGAAAACAAAAGGTGGAATGAACTACTGTATATTCAGACATAAGCCATAACAAAAAAAAAAAAAAAAAAAAAAGAGGGCAGGGGAATTATCAAGCATTGAAGTGGACTACTGGGATATTAAATCATCATATCTTTCATATCTCTAGTTTCAAGACTAGTTTCTTCCATCTTATGTGAAGTTATTTTTATTTAAAATAAAAATCCTATAGTATTTTCCTTGTCACTTTTGCTTGCCTGCATTTGAATTTGTCTTCCTAACTGTTTGTCTTTAGTCTGTCTTCTAGAGCATTCAGTACCTTTTCCTGGCTGCATAAGCCCAATAAGATTCCCATCTCTCCTATCGCTGGAATTCACCTATTAAACCACATCATCAGCCAAGCTTCTTATACACATTCACATCTTCTCATTTACTATTTTATGAACACAGAAAATATTTCTTTATGTTTTCTCAAAATGTAGTTTTACTGCATTTAAATTAATGTTTCAAGACAGACCAATCAGCAAAGTTAAGCTATGGACAACAAGTAAGGAGTAAATAAATGAAGTTGGCAATGAATTGCAAATTTCTGCAAAAAAAGTTGAGAAACAGAAAAAAGAAACAGAAGACCAAAAGCCCCTCTAGAAGCAAGCAAGC